TATGCCCACATGAGACGGGCTCCAAAGAATGGTTATTGATGTTCCCCTGCTGTGGTTTTGATGACAGATATGTTGAATTTTTTGGACTATCGGATTTAACGAGTATATGTTGGCAATGGACTGAATTGAAGAAAGAGAATCAGTGCAGATAGCTAGAGATTTTGTATTAGGAGAAGTCATTTCAAGAGCTTTAAGGATACCATATAATTCTGCAGTGTGAATACTACAAGTGGTTGGTAGTCGATGTAGAGCTAAGGTTATGTTTTCAGTACAGACCGCACAGCCAGTATTGTTTTCATCTTTAGATGCGTCGGTATAGAGAACTTGATTGTACTGTTTTGCATTTATTGCTTCTTGAAACAATTGTCTAAGGAGGTGGTTAGGAGTGTCTTCTTTTTTATGTCGAGTTAGACTAGTATTGAAAGCAGGTAGCTTATTGGTCCATGGAGGATTATTGGAAGTACTGATGGGGGTAGTTATATTCAGGTCTATAGCTGCTAGCAAAGGATTTACTAATTGTGGTAGGGGGTAAATACATATGTCTCTATTTTCAGGTGCGTGGTGGGTGTTAACGAGCTTAAATACTGGGTTTTTTGGGTTAGCTGAAACTCTAGTGAAATAGGAAGAGAATAAAAGCTGACGTCGTATGAAAAGATTTTTATTTTTTTCTTAATTAAAATATAATAAATGATCGATTATAAATAGTCTATTTATATTTAATTTCCTGAACTCGAATAAAATATTTACAAGTTTATCCTCAAAGATATTTCGGAAGTTATATATTCTAACTAATAATAAAATGTTAATATTGCAACAGTAAATATTGTTCTAGGTAATAAAAATTTTGTTACGTCTTTCTTTACACGAAAATAAACAGTTCACGAACTATTTAGGGTAGTCATTTATCACGGAAAGGCGATGCTATAAGCATACATAAAGAAAGGAAAAGATTTCGAAGTTACAGTCAACAACCGTAATAATTAAATGAAAAATTAATTAGTTCTTCAAACGAACGAGTAAGCCTCGATGTAAATACGGACAGAAGATATTGTTCTACTCAGTAGATCGGCTAACACAAATCATTCTATCATAGCGGTTTATTTAACAATATCACGGTCCAGATAGCCCTGTTAAAGATATACTAGCACTTTAACGTCTCACTTAAACTATATGGGATTTTCTGCACCGGACATATTACTACAAAGAGCGGAAAGGACATAAGTATAGGGTATATTTATTAAAACGGCAGTTTATATAAATTTTTTAATTGAATTTACTAATATTTATCGAGCAATCTGTTAAAATTTATAAATAATATTAAATGATGGAAATTTGGAGAGGAAGTAATTGTTCTCTCATAAATGTGATGATATGAATAGCCTTCTAAAGGCTCGAGTACCTACACGCGGTGAGTTTATATACTAACAAAGCCGGCTTGTTAAAAACCGGTGAGTCGGCGAGTACACATAAAATTTTAAATGCTCAACAGCCAACTGGAGTGTGGAAAACACGTGTTTTTCTCTGCTGTTAGATTATGTTTATCTGAATTCTAAACTATGGTGTTTGAAATTCGAAACAGGTACTCCAGAGACTTAAATGCATCACCGCTCGCTAAATAGCGTTAGCGTTAAATGTTATTTTTGATTTTGTGGTTACTGGTATTGCCATCCACATTACGAGAACTCCAGGCGGGATCTGTCGAAAAGTAGACCATAAACCCGGGTACACACATGCCAATAAATTGGAAAAGTAGCTAGCATGCCAGTTGCTACAACTGGCATGATAGCCACATAGATAAACACAAAACACATTTGCTAGTAATTGGCATGCCAGTAGCTCGCTTGATTATACTGGCAAGGCGAAAAAGCAGGGTAGATTTTTACACATGCCAGTGCTAGTAAACAATCGAGTGGTTTTCATCTGAAACTAAAGTAGAGATAGTGCAAGCACTCTTGACCACGGCGCAGTAGACACAATTTGTTTTAGTCGCCGCTTCCATGCGAAACGCGTTGTACTGTGCACTGTATAATTCCACTTACAATACAACCTTTCTGTCTGACTCACATAAAACACGCCATATTAGATTTTAAACCAGTGAATGAGAGAATATGTAAATTAAGAATAAAAACAAAATTCTTTAATCTCTCAATCATTAATATACATTGCCCAACAGAAGAACACAGCATGAAAATAAAAGAAGATTTCTTCGAACTGCTAGAAGAAGTATACGACAGCTCACCAAGAAAGGACATCAAAATCTTACTAGGAGATATGCATGCTCAAATAGGCAAAGAAGAACTTTTCTTAGGAACCATTGGCAAACATTCACTCCATCAAAATACCAATGAAAATGGAGAATTACTTATCAACTTTGCCATTAGAAAAAACATGATCATAAGTTCGACTTTTTTCCCACACCCCGACATACACAAAGTGACATAGATTATGCCTGGAGGAACAACCGCCAACCAAATTGATCATATCTTGGTAGACAAACGGGACGCAACAAGATGTGAAGAGCCGAAGAGGAGCATGCTACAGATAAAATACGAATGCAGAAATCAGAGAAACAGGAGGGAAACACAGGAATAAAGAACAGAACAACTAGATATACAAAAATTAAAACAACAAGATGTCAAACAGAACTATGAGAGAGAAATAACACAAACACTGACAGATATCCGCAGTCTAGGCACCGAAGAACATTGGGAAGAAATCAAAACAAAAGTTATTGACACCGCAAGAAAAATCATAGGCAAGAAAAAGAAAAATAAAAACGGAATGGTTCAATGACGAATCTAATAAGGCCATACAGAAAAGAAATGAAGAACACAGGAAATATATGAAAAGAAGAACCAGAGAAAGAAGGATAAGTTACCAAGATGCAAGACGGAGGGCCGATGAAATATGCCGAACAGAGAAAAGAATATACAAAAACGGCAATATACAGAAAATGGAAGAAAATTTTCCATTTTCAACAATATAAGACAGGCGTACAGATATCTACGCAATTTATGAGAAGGATACAAACCCCGAACAAATCTATGCAGAAATCAAGAAGGGCAAATAACCAGTGATCCAAAAGAAATAAAATGAGTCTGGACAACCTATTTCCAAACTCTTTTAGGAACACAAGAAAATGAAAAACATATGGACATGCATCACAATTAGGGAGACACCGAAAATATAGAACCCCCAACGATGGAAGAGGTGAAACAGGCAATACGAGCACAAAAGAACAATAAGGCTCCAGGTATTGACAACGTCCCCCCTGAGCTAGATAAATTAGGTGGCGATCACCTAGTAGGATAAATGCATATGATCATGAACAAGATTTGGAATGATTAAAAAAAATCCCTAATGATTGGAAAACCAGGATTATATGCCCAATCTATAAAAAAGGGGATAAACTTACATACTAAACAGACGACTCCAACAACTAACTGAAAATATTGTCGAGGATTATCAAACCGGTTTCCGACAAGGAAGATCTACAACTGACCAACTATTCACAGTGAAACAAATTTTAAACAAATCGTGGGAATACGACATTGACGTCCACAACATATTCTAAAGAAGCCTACGACTCAATTAATAGGAACAAGTTATATCAAATATTGCAGGGCTTTAATATCCCAAAAAATACATTCGACTGGTAAAAACAACATTGGATTCATCAATAGCAACTGTCAGAGTCTAAAATGAGCTCACTGAAAACTTTACAATAGTCCAAGGATTATATATAGGATAGGATATAGGAAGAGGTAATCTCCTAACAAATAAATCAATACAGATTGCTGCCGAGGATATCAGCATCATGTCTCGCAGAACAGAAGAGGCGGCACAAATATATTCACAATTAAAAACAAAGGCAAAAGAGACCGCACTAGAAATAAATATTCAAAAGACAAAAAAGTTAACACAGGCAAGAGCTAGGGGAAACAGACGCACAGTTGAATTAGAGGACGATATTGAAACGGTAGAAAGTTTCACATATTTAGGAGTTGCATTAAACACGGATGGAACCGAAGAACCAGGAATCCAAAGAAGAATAGTAAAGGGAAACAAAGCTTATTTTTTACTCGATCATGTGTTCCGCTCCAAAAACACACACCGGAGATCGAAAATCAGGTTCTACAAAACTATTATCAGACCAATAGTATGTTATGCATGCGAAACATGGGTGATGACAAAATAGACAAAAAGAAAAAAAGTCTTCGAAAGAAAAGTCCTAAGAAAGATATTTGGACCTATTAACGAAAACGGAATATCAAGAGATCAGGTACAACCAGGTACAACCATGAACTCTGCCAACTGTTTAAAGAGACACCGATCTCAGAATTCGTTAAACTTTAGAGACTTCGCTGGGCTGGTCATGTAGTAAGAATGGAGACAGAAAGATTGCCAAAAAGAGCTCTAGATAGTAAAATGCAAGGCGCAAGAGAGAGAGAGAGAGAGAGAGAGAGAGAAATTCTTCTGGTGTTAAATGGTCAACTATCGCACTAAACTTTTTCCTTATATTTTAGTAATTCGTTTGAAATTTCACTCTGCATTATTATCCATTTTTCACCTTTTTAGCTGTAGCCCTTTTTTACGTAAAGAATTTCAATTTCGATGTTTTTTTTTCAACTTATTATAGAAATGATCCGTAACCATCTTCTTTCAATTTCTGTTTAATTTTTTACCAACTGAGATCGCTATCATCTTCTCTTGTTATCACCTTTTCTTTCTTCTTTTTTTCTTTTTATTTCTCTTATATTTCTCTCGTTTCTTGTGAAGTTTTTTTTTTCTGTGGTCACGTAACATTCTTGTTACTTTTTTTTTACTTTAAGTGCTCGTTTTACATTTCTTCGTAGTCAACGCCGTAGATAGTATCAGTCTATTCCCAAACTTGGATTATTATACTTATTATTTTTAAATTATCTTTAAATTCTACTTTAATATTATTTAGTATATTAAATTTAATATAAATAAACAAAGGTAATAAAATATAATTGCAGATGTACAGCCCATTGCTGCGCAGTGATTGTCCTAACGCTTCTAATCATGGGTATGCAGATATTCTTCAAAAACGATCTATAAATTCCTTACTGGACCAACCAGAAATATTATCAGAAAATAAGGGTGAGTATATTTAAAACAATTTATCTTTATCATGATATCATAAATCATACTCCTGTTCTACTTGCCTTGAAAAAGTAGGGATGTGTTCCGTAATTTAATAAAATTACATAAATCCAAGACAAAAACAAAAAAGTTTGCAGAAATTAAAAGAAATAGGATGCATGATAAATTACTTCATATCTGAAAGAAATTCATACAAAAGCTAAAAAAACTTTTATTCAAAACTTAAATCATCATCAATGGTGCTACAGCCCTATGAAAGAGCCTCGACCTTCCCAAGTCTATTACGCCAGGCAGTCCTTTCAATTGCCAACCGTTGCCAGTTTGCTGCCCCTATCTTTCTACCATTCTTATCTACACCATCCTTCCATCTGAGTTTTGGCCTACCCCTTTTTCTACTTCCCACGGGTTGTGACATAAGGATTCTTCTAGGAGGGTTGCTCTGCTGTGATCTTGCTAGATGTCCTGCCCATCTTAGTCTTCCTATTCTTATAAGAGATACTACGTCTTTACCACCAAATATTTGTTTATATCACTTAAAGTAATTACTTTATTTTATTGGAAAGTAATGTGTCCATAGAGTTTTCTATTTACATGTTTAATCATTATGGCTATCTGATAATGGTTTGCATTGTTTGCGAAGTGGCTCAAAATCATCTTCATCGTCAGAAGAAACTGTCACTCCAATAGATAATTGCGGTTAAGGCGACGGATTTTCAAATTCAAACTTCATTTTCGTTCTGAGTAGCTCTTCCTTTTCTGACAACGTAGTCAGTAATTAAACTTTGCGATGATGATGCTAGTAATTTTTTATGTAGCTCACGATATCCTGTGCAGCAGTTCTGCAGCTCACGTTGTAATGTAAAGGCTTGTTCAAAATTGGGATCATTAATAAGAAAATGATTTTCTAACTTACTACAAAGTTAAAGACCTTGTCGAATTAATTTGGTAGTGAAAGGGGCTGGTTTTTCTTCCTTATCATTATCATCTTCTAGACTCACGACGCCATCTAAAGTTTGATCAATTATATCATGGTGGAATTTAAGTTGCCTTTATGTAATATTTTTTTAACATTGCAATTATGCCTTGATCTGATGGCTGAATAAAGCTTGTTGTATCGTGCGGAAGAAATACTATTTGAACGTTTGAATGTTTTATGTGTTGTGACCCGCTGCATTGTCAATAATTAATAAAACTTTAAAATCGGGAGATTTTTTCTTCATATAGGCTTCTACTTTTGACACAAAGCAATTATTGAACCATTCTGTAAAAATAGCTGCTGTCACACCTCGGCTTTCTCGTTAGCTATCCAATGCACTCGCAGTTGTTTTAATCTTTGCCTTTTAAAGCACGTAGTTTAAGAGACTTCTTTATTAAGAACTGTTTTAACATCCGATCTTCTGATGCGTTGCTACAAAGTAATAATGTTACTTGATCTTTACGTGCTTTATTTCTACTTGAAGGTTTTTTATCCTTTGCGATGTAAATACGGTTAGGCATTTTTTTCCAATACATACCCGTTTCATCAGCGTTAAATACTTGATCGGCATAATAGTCCCCATCTTCAATAATTTTCGCTAGCCATGGAAATATTTATGCTGCTGCTTCATCTGCTATAGTACTCTGTCCTGTTATCTTGATATTATGAAGAGCATTTCTTTTTATAAACCCAGTTAGCCAACCTTTGGTAGCTGGAAATTCTTTACTAGCTTGGGAAGTGAAAGTAGGTGGTTCTAACTGTTTCAATAACTCATAAAACTGAAGAGCTTTTTCCTGGATTAAATAACCGCTTACAGGAATTCTTCTTTGAATTAGTTCCTCAATCCAGATTGCGATGGCTCTTTCTGTTCTTTCTTGTAATACATCCCATGAGTAAGATGAAAATTTGGCGCTTAATTTTGTACCAAAAATTATAGATTTTCTTATAACAACTTCATTCTTCTTAATTGCTCTTATAGTTGATTCGCCTAAATTAAAATGTTTCCAATTGTTGTAGATCCTTCTTCTTTTTCTAAGAGATCTAAAATTGCAGTTTTCGTTTCCAACGATATTGATTGTCTTTGATTGTGTTTTTTTCTCCATTGAGTCAAATAGAATCTTAAAAAAAGAAATAAAAAAAATTAACTTACGATATTGAGATGGCAAACAATAAAACTAATTCTAATGAAAAATTAAACTTTACGATGTTCACTTGAAACGTTTCAATCCGTAAACCGTGCTGCTTATGCAACTTGGAATCAGCAAAATTTTAAACAGCTTATTATAAAACGAAGCATCGCTAAGAAAAAGATTATTTTAAAACAATTGCAGGTTATATCTTTCAATGCGAAATTCGCAATGATGTAATAGGGACATCATGTAACATGGGAATCCCCGAATTGCAAAGGCTCACTTTACTAACATCTGGATGTGAAAGCTTAATATTTAATTATAATAGTTGTAGCATTTGCAATTCATTGATTCTTTGAAATATATTGAAATCCTCTCGTATATGTAATATATTGAAATCCCCTCATATATGTTTAAAAAAACGAAGAATTTTTTCCATTTTTGTTAGTTCGTATCTTTAAAGTTAAAATACCCAAAAGTGTTTTCAATCATTTTAGCGTTTCCAAGTAATATAAACCATTTTAGAGTTGTTTATTATTTTAAAGATGAAGTACTTTCTCGGCATTTTCTTTTAATGTTTTATTTGGAGTCATCTTATAATTTTTGTACGTCGTAGAAATGGAATCTTCTGCGTTTTAATTCCTGTCAAGTGTTTGTTATTTCAAGTTGGTGAACGAATTCTTAAGAGAATTTCGTCATTCTTACTTGGGTCGCCTGTAGTGTCAGATATGGATCCAAATAGATTCTTACTTGGGTCGTTGTAGGCTCAATTATGGATCCAAATTCATCCGTCGAATTTGTGGTTTTCTCTTTTTCTCTTTATGGAAATATGTAGCAGTGAAAAGTAGTTTTGTGGCAGTTAATGCTTCAATAAATGTTTTGAGTGAGGATTGGAAGAATCGTCGTTTGCATCCTCGTTTTGTTTCTCCCTGTTTGTCAACCAAGGCTTTTTGGCAGTTTGGAGATGGAGTTGTTCGTTACGCAGAGAGAGTGAAGCCCCTAGTTCCAGTTATGGTTTCGGAGGTTCCAGTGGCGTCTGGTTCCACAAATTTTAGTGCAGTTTGATTGTGATATCCAGGTAACTTTTATTGTTTGTTCACATTTTAAAGTAAAGACAGACAATTTTTTAAATAAATAAGTGCTTTCGTTAAAATTTAAAAAATAGTAATATTTCATATTGTAAATTTTGGGTTTTGACTTTAGCTGTTATTTTATTTGTTTTCAGATTTTAAAATTTAATGTTAACATATCACAGCTAGCTTTATTATTTTTGATATTTATTTGTTTTGTTTGTTTTAAAAAAAGGTTAATCTCTATGCGGTAACATTTGAAAGTTTTTTGTAGTGTTTCCAACTCCTAGAGTTTGTAAATGGATGACATGTAAGTTTTTTTGTATTCTTGTATTTTGCGACTATTAAGGTAATATTTTTGTATTGTCTTTTTTGAGTATTATTGTATTCTCTATGTTTTGGTAACTGTTTGTGGTAAGACATAATAAATGTTAAATTTTGTTTTCTTAATATTTTGTTTATTTTTTTGAACTAACCCTTTTTTGAGTTTTATTTGAAAAAGATATGTTTTTTATGTTTAATAATTATTTTCCTATTACAAATAGTTGTTGTCATAGTTAAAATTGGGCACCTGAAAGTGGCGCCCTATATTAAATTACTAGAGGTGTTTCCTGTTTATTTTTATTTTATTTGTTCCAAGAGATTAATGACCCCTTTATTTCATTTTTTGTAGTCGCTCCAATCCAAACCCCTTTGCCATTTACTTATCCACGACCCCAGCTCTCCTAACAAACCCTGAGTGCCGTTTGCACAAGTAGCGATTATTTTGCTTGCCTTATCTTCACCCCATTAGTTTCAGTCCCCAATTTTCTACCCCTTGTATTAATACCCCATGTGGTAGGCTAAATATTTTCGTTACATAGTTAGTAATAGAAATTTTGATTAGATCCCAAATAGTTGGGATCATAGCTAGGAAATAAAAACTCGTATTGCACAAGCCAAAAGCTCTTTCAACAGCCTTAGGAAGATCCTGTGCAACTTATCTGAAAGTATCAATATACGCATAAGAATTATTAGATGTTACGTCTTTGTTGTCGACGTTATCTAAAAGACAACAACATTATTAACACCGTAAAAAACAGAAAATTGGCTTACTTCGGCCACATAATGCGTAATAATAAATAAAAACTTTTACAGTTGATTCTACAAGGCAAGATTGAGGGTAAGATAGGCCCTAGATGTAGACGTATATTCTGGCTGCCCAATCTTAGGAAGTGGACTAGTCTAACGTCAGCAGATCTATTTTAAGCTGCTGTGAATAAAATAAGATGGGTCAGTGTGATAGGTACATTTAGAAGTATGTTTAACCTTTTAATTGACGTTGTAGAGTTCTTGTTTGATGTGTAAATGAATTAGCCCTAACGTCTTTCTTAATGGCTTTTTAAATGGTTTTATTTAAATTTCTTAGCTCTTGAATGTTCTTTGTGTGCTTATCTTTCATTTCCCTTCTTTTTTGCATTCAGTTTCTTGTGTCTTCTGTGAGTTTTTCATTTTTCCTTGTTTGCTTGGCACTTCTTCTGTGCCTTCTTTAGGGTGTTCACCACATTTCATTAAGAAGCTCGTAATTATCATAAATAGAATCACAGAAGTGAGTCGAAAACAAAATGTATGATAATCTCTAAGAAAGAACAGCAAATTGAAAGAATCAGTGTCAATGGTCAACCAATAGAAAGAGTAAAGACATACACCTTCCTTGGAACGAACGTCAATAAAAATAGGGATCATTCCCTATTAATAAAATCTAGGATAAAGAAAGCAACATCTACATTTCAAAAAATGGCTAAGATATTCATATGCCACGATTTATCAGTACCCATAAAA